CCAAAGTAGGAGGGGTGGGCCCCAGAGCCAGGGCAGAGGCCCAACACCACAGGCCTCTGGACTGACCAAACACAGGTGGAAATAGCATGGGAGTGAACTTCCAGGGAGGTGTGATGAAGGTCGTGAGCACTGGGGAATCATCCCCGGGGAACTCTCTGAGCTGGAAGTGGGAACAGGAAATAACTAGATGAGATTCATCTTGGAAAAATGCAAGCTCATACATCTGGGCAAAGATAATCTAAAACATCAGTAAGGGATGGGCAGGACTAGCCAAGGTCTGGGAGCAGGGGAGGGGAGGCTGCAACCCTCAGGGCAGCAGGAAGAGCCCAGCCAGGCAGGAAGAGTCCGGCCAGTGGGTTGTCTGTGTAGCTCTCTGACTTTTGAGGAGCAGAAGGCTGGAGACCTGGTCTTCTGGGAACCCCTCAGCCAAGAGTATTACACCAGCCTACCCAAAATAGAAGGCTGAGGTCTCTGCTTCCCGACAGCAGCCTGGGGTACAGGGAGGGAGGAGAGGAGTGCCCCACCCTGCCCACCACTGCCCACGCCTCCCCTCGCTCACAACACCCCCTGGGCCTGTATTCCTGGGGGAGGGCATGCAGTAGGCAGAACAGGCATCGTGGACATCTCCAGAGAGAACCACAGGACGCAGAGCCAGGAGGCCGGGTGTGTCTTGGCTCTGCCGCACACAGAGAGGTTCCTCGTCCACAAAATGAGAACGGAAATTTATTTTCCTCCCTCCCTCCCCTCCTTCCTTCTAAGTAATCCATGCCCTTTGTAGATGTTTTAGAAAGCACAAACAAAATGAAAAGAATTTTAAATCACTCACAATTCCACTAACCACTGCAAACATTTTCTTAGCCATGTCGCCACTATATTTCCCATGTACATCAAATATATACATAAATGTGCTTTTACAAAACAGCCTCACATGATCCACACAGCTCTCTGCTTTCATCACGTAATAGTATCAGGTAGTGCTCTCAAGGGCATTTTTTCTTATCAGTGAATATGGCTGCACAGCACCGGTTTTTAAAAGTCAGGTTTACTGAGGTATAGATACATACTGCAGAATTCACCCCTTTTAGTTCATAGCTCTATGAGTTTGACACACACGGGCCTGTAACCATCATTGCGGTCAAGATAGAGAACATTCCATCACCCCCAAATTCTTTCATGGACCTCTGCAGTCAACCCCTGCTCCCACTCCCAGCCCCCTCCAATCACTGGTCTGTTTTCCATCAAACAGTTTTGCCTTTTCCAAATTGTCATATAAATGGGATCAGAGCATATGTGGCTCCTCCCACTCAGCATAAGGCACTAGAGACTCATCCAAGCTCTTGTTCCTTTTGTCTCAATGCCTCTTAGCATTCCACAGAATGGATGCACCGGTCTGGGAAGCCACGCCCCACGTAAACACACATTTGGAGTGTTCACACATTTTGGTGATTTTGATTGAAACCACACAGGATCATTTTTAATGGCTGCATAGCATTCCACCATATGGACATAGCATTATTTATTCTGCCAGCCCTTGATTATTGGTCATTCGATCATTTCCAGCCTTTCTTTTTCTAAAGATAAACGTGGCAGGGTCTCCCTCTCCCCAAAGGTTTCTTACCCTCCAGGAGAGTGGGTCTCAACCTCTGCCACATATCAGAGTCACTGGGGAGTTTTTAAAAATGCCAATGCCCAGGCCATATCCAGGGCAATTAAATCAGACTGTCTGGGGAGGGGCCTGGGCATCAGTGTTATTTGGAGCTCTTAGATGCTACTTACCATAACTCAGGAGATTGCCTCACCACTGCCGGCCAATTATTATGATCTGGGCTTGGGGTGGTGTCCACTGCTGCCTCTGTGACAGCATCCTCTCCTTTCCCAGGTCCACACTTCACCACTTGCCCACAGTGATTGCCACAGACCAGGATGGGGAAATTAGGCCCACGGAAGAATAAAACCCAAAGACAATTTCCACATGTACAGGAGATCATCTAAAAGTCTCCATTCACTGGATATTTCCTGTAGCCCACGGGCCACCTTCTGGGAAAAGGTAACTTCTTCCAGGTGCCTTCTTGGCATACTTGAATTCTCACCTGCTCCCGGGGGCTATGCCTCTTGCTTCCAGCCCTTCTGCAAAAGCCACCCCCAGGATATTCTCTGCCCTAGCATCAGGCCAGGTCCTCCATTGAAAAACCCTTCCCCCATCCTCCAGTGGGGACATCCTTCCCCCCACCCCCACTCTATGTGTGGGACCCTCCCTTCTACCCCACACATCGTCAAGCAGGAACTCTCTCCCTTCCACATCCTCAAGGACACCCTCCCACCCTACATGCTCCAGTGGGTACACCTGCCCCAGAGTGGCAGACCCAGCCCTTTATTCTGCTCATTCCCCAGGGACACACAAATACACACTTGGCATACATACAGACATACATACACTTGGCAGCCCACAGCAAATGCTTGATCTCAATAAGCAGAAGCATGTTCCCTGGCCCCACGGCAGGCCACCTCTCCCCAGGTGTAGGGCACACCTCTGTCCTACAGAGCAGGCAAGGTCCTCTCTCTCATCTTTGCATCCCATTCACATCACCCCCCACCCCATCCTATCTTCGTGATGACTTCCTTACCTCTCCCCCATAGTCCTAGTAGACACTTTGCAGCAACTGCTTAGAGGGCCTGCCCAATTTCTAAGCCTGGCAGTTTCTTCCAGAGTCACTTGGATGAAATTCTTTGCACAAACATTTTTACACAGTTGCCTAGTGTTTTAAGTATTCAGGTCTAATGGGTCATTAAAAACTGCCTCTGCCAGCCAGGTGTGGTGGCTGGCGCCTGTAATCGCAGCACTTTTGGGAGGTGGAGGCGAGAGGATTACCTGAGGTCACCCTGAGCAACATGGTGAGACCTCTACAATAAATTAAAAATCAGTCGGGCATGGTGGCACGTGATGTGGTTTCAGCTACTCGGATGGCTAAGGCGGAAGGATCACCTGAGCCCAGCAGGTTGAAGCTGTGGTAGCTGTGAACATACCACTGCACTCCAGCCTGGGTGACAGAGTGAGACTCCAACTCAATTTATCAATCAATCAATAAAATCAAAACTGCCTCTGCCTTCCCAGGAGAGAACGAGGACTTCAAGGGGAGCTCAGGTATCTTGGCCAGAGGACATTAAGAAGAAACAAAATGATTTTAGGGGATAGACAGCTAGAGGGAACTGCTCAGGGGACATTCAGGCAGAGCTACTCCCTGAGGAGGGCAGGAGCCAGAAGCACAGATTAAGAACATAGGCTCTGACCCTGGAAGCATCCCCATCTCTGTTGGCATGAGAAGGCAGGCAGAGAGGGACCTCGGGCCGGCCCCCTGGCTTCTGTGCGTGGGTCCCAAGGCCCAAGAAGCTAAAGGCTGGGAGATGGTGTGGAGGTCAAGATGCCTAGGCCAAGCTACCTGCCTCCCTCATCTCAGCTCTGTGCCTTGAGCATGGAGCTGGGGGGAAATGTCAGCTCACTGAAGATGTCAGAAATGGGTCAAAGGAAAAGAAAGAGGATAGGTGCTAAGGGAGTGTGGGACTCAAGATGGAGGAGGGTAAGGTGATGTAGCAGTGATGTGGAGAAATATAACGAGGGTCACATCCAATCTGGTCTGTTGCATCGGTTAGGCTGAGTAGGACTACACCGCTCTAACAGATTCCAAATGTAGTATGTACCCAAATAGGATAGACAGAGGACCCAAGATTGTCAAGCTGTCAGTCCTTCCCAACCTGATCTATAGATTTAGCGCAATTCTGAATCTTGGAAAAGGGATTGCTGGATCAATATGTGTGACTTTGCTTTGTTGGCTGTGTTCACCAAATTGGCTTCCAAAGTCTCACCTACAGATTTCCAACTTCCTCACACCTTCAACATGTGTTGTCAATTTTTAAATGTTTGATAATCTGACAACTGAAGACATTTTCATTTAAATATGCACTTCTTCAATGACCAGACAGGTTGGACAATCTGATTATAAATCCATTGACTGGGATTTCTTCTGAGAATGTCTACTCAGGTTTTTTGTTGTTGTTGTTGCTGCCAATTTTTCTTTTACCTCATTGTCCTTTTCTTACCTAGGTACAATTTTGTGATTACAAGAATTAGTCTTAATTTCAAAACATGCTACATTTATCCCAGTTTGTCTTTTGATTTTAATTTTTAAACGCGTTTTAAATGTGTGTGTCATCCAGTTTATCATTCTTTTCCTTTAGCTCTTCCAAGTTGATTGTGATACTCAGATTATAAAAACATTCAGACTTTTTTCCAGCACGCTTTTGGTCTCTTTCTTAGATTTAAATCTTTGATCCATCTGGGGTTTATTTTGGTGTTGAGGAGCGAGGGAGGGCGCCAGCTTCTATTTTTCCAAACGGCCGGCCAGTTGTCCCAATGCCATTCGACCGAAAGCCCTTCCCCGTGTGTCTGAAGCCACCGCCGCTCCAGCGCGCTCGCAACTCGAGCGCCGGTCCCGCTCCAAGCTCGGGGCGGCTCCGCGCCCGCCGGCTTCCATGTGACCGTCCCGGGCGCAGAGGGACCAGGCGGGGCCTCACGCGTCCTCCTCGAGCCACTCGGCTCAAGTCCCAGCCCCGCGCCGAGGACGATGGCCACCCCTCTCCGCCCCAGCACTGGCCGAGGGTGCCCGCTCCTTGGCGCCGCCGCCCCGCCAGAGCTCGACCTCCCCTCCCCGAAGTCCACGAGGCAGAACCCCAGGCTCCGCGAGGGTGGCTGAAGTAGAAGGCGTGTTCTCTGGTGTCATTTGCATAGAGCCGGGGCTTCCGGAGCGGCCTGAACACCCAATCCCGTTCGACCCAGAACCACCCAGAGCTCCCGCAGGCCCTAAGAGCGAGTCCCACCGAAGGGACTCGTTTGCATAGGGCGGGATCTAGTGTTGCACGAGCGAGCCCCTTCCTCTTCCAGCCAGCTTCCGCCTGCCCCCTTCCGGCTTCCGATCCCCTTCCTTCCGGCTTCCGCCTGCTTTTCTTCCGCGCTCGCCCGGCGTCGCCGGCAACTGTGGTCCCGATGCTGCCCAAACGGCGGCGAGCACGGGTCGGGTCCCCAGGCGGCGCTGCAGCCTCCTCGGCGCTGCCCCCGACGCTCTTCCCCGGCGTCTCTGTCTACCTGGTGGAGCCGCGCATGGGCCGCAGCCGCCGAGCTTTCCTCACGCGCCTGGCGCGCTCCAAAGGCTTCCGCGTCCTCGACGCCTGCAGGTGCGGAGCGGCGCGGCCGAGGTCTCCGGCGGGCGGCCCCGTCGTGGGGCGCGGGAGGCCTGTGTCCGGCGTGCGGAGCCGCGGGGGATGACGTCGCGGGGACGATGGTGTGACGCTGGCCGCTGTAGCCCCGCCTGGCCCCCGAGGCCCCTTGGCCGCCGAGGATGTTGAGGTTGCGGGTCGGAGACGACTCGCCCCCAGCCCGCGGGACTGCGGCACCTGCGGTTTGGGATTCGGAGTTCGCTCCGGCGCTTCGTGGTCGTGTGACCTTCCCCGGAGCCTCGACTTCCTCCTCGGCAAAGGGTGCTGTTAATTCGGGCCGGGAGTGTTTTAAAGACCATGGGGTGGGGTGCGATCCCCTCGGGTCCCCTCCCCCTGCGGGAGCTTTTCTGTTCTTTTTTATTTTTATTTTTTTGAGTCGGAGTCTCACTCTGTCGCCCAGTCTGGAGCGCAGCGGCACGCTCCCGGCCACCGCAGCCTCGACCTGCTGGGCTCCGGCGATCCTTCCGCCTCAGCCTTCCGAGTAGCTGGAACTACAGGCGCGCGCTACCGCCCGGCTAATTTTTGATTTATTGTAGAGACGACGTCTCGCCAAGTTGCCCGGGCTGGTCTTCAACCCGCGGGCTCAGGCGATCCACTCGCTTCGGCCTCCCAAAGCTGGGATGACAGGCAGAGCCACTGAGCCCAGCCCTACTTTCTCACTTAAAAAGAAGAAAGAAAAAAAAAAAAGACCATGGGGAGTCAGGGGCAGGGATAATTGGTAATAGTATGTGCTAACGGTCCAGCTGCCTTGGGTGAGGCCCACCACGCCCTGTGAGCTGGACTGACTTCCCAGGAGGTCCTGAGCCTGCAGCCTCCTCTGCCCTTAAGCCTGAGGAAGTCCCTGACTGAGGCGTACCTGTAGAGAGGGAACCAAGAGGAGCAAAAAAATGGCGGCTCCAGAGTCGACACCCAGAATGAAAGAACTGAGGTTTCCTGGAGTTTTGAGCCAACACACCAGGAGCCGGTGTCCCCCTGCAGCTCCCCCCCCCTCAGTCATTCTTGGAGATCAGTACCAGACCCACTCAGGAGAGGATGATGGTGGCAGCTTAGAGTGTGCAGGGCACTATCTTATTTGTACAATAACCCTACAAGGTAGATAGGTTAGTATCTCTGCTTTACCGAGGAGAAGATCAAAGTACTTGTCCAAGAGCAGGAAGATGTGGCAGAGCTGGGATTTAGACCCAAACGGGAAGGCTCCAGCATCTGTGCTTAAACCCAAGCACTGGGATAAAGATCACCTGGTCCTGACTAAGGAACTCCTTTCTCTGAGGTAGAGAGGGAGACACGCAACACAAGATTGGGCTGGACTTGTGAATGTAGCTGAAGAGAATCACAGTTCCGAGGGTGCTGAGTGGTGGAGCTGTTCTACCAGGAGAAAGTTGGGAATGCTTTCTGGAGGAGGTGACATTTGCCGAATGAATGGGCACTCACCATGCAGAGGGGACAGCAAAATCAAAGGCTTGGTGGTATGGAGCTTAACAAGGAGGGCTCTGGGCCTCACCCCCTCCCCCTCCCTCTGCCCAGCTCTGAGGTGACCCACGTTGTGATGGAGCGGACCTCAGCGGAGGAGGCCATATGCTGGCAGGAGCGTAATGGGGAGACTGCTCCCCCTGGTTACACTCCACCAGCTCTGCTGGACATAAGCTGGTTAACGGAGAGTCTGGCTGCCGGGCAACCTGTACCCGTGGAGTGCCGACACCGCCTGGAGGTGAGCTGGGTGGAAGATTAGAGTTGGGGTCACAGAAAGCGCTGGTGCAGGCCGTAGCTTAGCTGAGACAGATGACGTGCCGCAGTGCCTCAGAGTCCTTCAGAGGAGGTGGGCCCTGAGAAGTCAGTAGAGGGACCACAGCAGAGGCTTGGTGGGGCGGGCCATCTCAGCTTCTTTTCTCACCACTGGCACAAACTCTCCTGGGGCTTCTTCGGGCCTTTATTCCTCACCAAGCAGATGACACTGCAACTCCAGAGGAGATGACCCATGGGTCCGTGGGAGCCCTTACTCGGGATGCTGTGACGGGTGTGGGCTCAGGCCCCAGGCTGCCTGCCTTCACATCCTGGCTCTGCGTGTGAACCATGCGGTGTGGAGCAAGCTCCCTCGCCTCAGAGGCCTCAGTGTCCCCAGCCCCCTTGACGGCGAGGATCTGGGGAGAGGGAGCACATGCAGCGTTGTGCCATGACAGGAGTGCCCCACGAGGGCTGGCAGGTGTCACTGCTGTACTCTGGCCTGAGGAGCCCGTCAGCCTGTTCTATGGGGCAGCGCTGCCCTATGCCCCATGCCTCTGGCAGTTTTGCTGCCCATCTCTGTCTTGTGAGTCCCAGAGGTCTGAGTTGAGCACCCCAGGAGAGGCCAGGTTCTGGGTCCGACCTAGCTCTCCTACCAGCCTGTATATTGTCCATCCCAGGTGGCTGAGCCCAGGAAGGGGCCCCCAAGCCCAGCATGGATGCCACCCTATGCCTGCCAGCGGCCCACGTCCCTCACACACCATAACACCAGCCTCTCGGTGAGCTGTCCCCAGGGGTCGGGGACCAGGGCACAGATAGGTGGTAGCTGGTGGGTGGGCATGAGGTGCTCTGCTCTGCTCACCCTGCTCCTTACCAAGGGTCCTTCTCTGCAGGAGGCTCTGGAGATGCTGGCGGAGGCGGCGGGCTTCGAAGGCAGCGAGAGCCGCCTCCTTGCCTTCTGCAGAGCAGCCTCAGTGCTCAAGGCCCTTCCCAGACCTGTCACAGCCCTGAGCCAGCTGCAGGGGCTGCCCCACTTTGGAGAACATTCCTTCAGGGTTGTCCAGGTAGGCACTTGCCAGACTGAGCAGAGTGAGGGTTTGGGTTAGGGAGGCCTTGGGGATTGCTGAGCTAGCAGAAGGCGCCACAGGGGTGACAGATTGGGTACAGGTGCTGCTCCAAGGCCACAAGCCATCCTCTGCATGCAGAGTCCTCCTGTGTAAATCACTCACCTGCTCCATGGTGGCTGAGGGGACTCAACGAAGGGCACTACGAGGGGCCCGGTGGGGCTGAGGGCCAGTCCTGCCCGGGACAGTAGAAGAGAGAATCTGAGTGTGCGCATTTCTTCTTGAGGATCTGGCATGTACTTTTGTGCACTTTCGTCACGAGAATATGAGAGGGGACCCCACAAAAAATCCAGACTTTATTTACTAAAAGCTGTGTATTCTTACATGGTTAAACATCAGTCATCTTCAAAGTACTTTCTGTTTGATGCAGTACGCCTACCGAGATGTGTTTTCCACTTCTCAAAACAGTCTTTGAACTTGTCGGTTTTGATGCCTGTTAGTGCTTCTGCTGTTTTCTGTTCCACCTCTTCCACATCAGCAAAACGTTTCTCTTTGAGAACTTTTTTCATCTGGGGAGACAAAAAAAGTTGCTCAGGGCAAGATTGGGTGACGGGGGAGAGTGGGGCACAAGGGTCATGCCACTTTGGGTCAAAAACTGCTGAACACTCTGTGCGGCGTGAGCAGGTGTGCTTGTAAATCACCCATTATGAAATAGGCAAACTCATTCAGAGACTCCAAAAAAAAGTCACTGATGCTGAACACAGCCTCTCACAACTACACTAACTGGTACACTGATGCCCATGGGTTCCTGGAACATTTACCTAGTGGGGGAAGCTTTTACTACGAGGAGCCCACCCTCCAAAAAATCCAGTTTTTTTAATTCCCCCCTCATATGTAGTGACAAAAGATGTTTTTAAATGAAGTTGTAATTCACACATTTTGAAAAGCAAGTGTTTGTATAACTTGGGACTTGTTACTCGTCTGAGAGATGAGCCCTGTTACCTCAGCTGTTGCAAACTCCAGGCTTTGGGATGCTCTAAACCTGGAGCCCCCTCCCCCAACCTGAGTAGCAGCCGCTTTGTCACCCCCATTGGACACACTGTCCTGCTAGATCCTGACACTAAAAAACTCTGCAGAGTGGACTGCCGGACCCCAACCCTGACTCCCTGCGCTTCTCTTTCTCTCCAAGACCTCAGGCTCAGAGTTCTTCTTTGTTCCCTCTCCCAGGAGCTGCTGGAGCATGGAGTGTGTGAGGAGGTGGAGAGAGTTCGGTGCTCAGAGAGGTACCGGACCATGAAGGTGCGCAGATGGGGCTGGGAACCGCGCAGGGGCACACAGCTTCTCAGTCCTGCCCTGTGAATGACAGGATAGTCCATGTGGGAGGCGGGTGGGGGCAGCTGACCCAACCTAGGGGTCAGAGAAGGTCTCACCAAGAAAGCGGCAGTTAAGCTGACACCTGATACACACAATGCGGCCAAGTGGAGGCAGTCAAGGGAGAGCTTATTCTGAGCACAGGGAGTTTTCTAGTTCACTCGTACCATCTGTTTTTTATTTGAGTATTTTTGATGGAATTTTCTCAAGTATGTTACATGCTGTGGCATCTTAAACAGAGCAAGCTGAACAAAATGTAACCTTTTTTCAGGTACCCCTGAGTTTGGGGCCACTTGTCCCTTCCCATCAGGGCATCTGTAGGATCTTACGTGTTCATTTCTCAGTGGCTACAGTCTGCCTGTGTCTATCACTCACGGTGTAGTGGAAACTCTTCCTCCTCCTCCTCCTCATCTCAGGGCAACGCCATCCGGGCTCTTTTGGGTGCTTCGGTTATGCTTGCTCTGACACCCTTGCTGCTACCTGGTTTTTTAGCACTGGTGGTTGCAGTGGTGGCCATTTGGATAAGTGTCAGTGAAGTGTGGCTGTGGATGCTGTGGGAGGTGGCACAGAACACTGTCAGGATTGACAGGACTTCAAGGGCGGGGTCGAGCGATGTGTGAAGGGTGAGTGGGCCCGAGCAGGCAAAGAACGGGACAGGGAAACTGCCAGGTACAGGGAGCAGATGAACAGGACCACCTGGTAAGTGTAGGGGTGAGGGACCTGAGGAAGGTGAGGAGACCACGCTGACTGGAGCAACGTGGGGCTGGGATGAAGTGTCCTTGAGGCTAAGGAACATTAGTGAGTGATTTCACTGTCAGTCCAGCCCCAGAACCTAGCAATGGTTTCCAGATCGGAGGAGTGAGAAGTGCCAAGAGATGTGGGCGCCATCTGCCTCCTCCCCTCCACCCTGCCTCCTTCTGGCATCCCAGAGTCCCAGAAGGCATCCAGCTGGAAGGAAGTTGCATTAGTACTTAGAAGTTTACTTTTAAGCCAGGCTCGGTGGCTCAGCCTGTAATCCCGCACCTTTGGGAGGCTGAGGTGAGTGGATTGCCTGAGCCCGCGGGTTCAAGACCCACCTGGGCAACTTGGCGAGACCTCATCTCTACAATAAATCAAAAAATGAGCCAGGTGTGGTAGCGTGCGCCTGTAGTTCCAGCTACTTGGAAGGCTGAGATGGAAGCATCGCCGGAGCCCAGCAGGTCGAGGCTGCGGTGACCGGGAGCGGCCACTGCACTCCAGTGTGGGTGACAGAGTGAGACTCCAACTCCAAAAAAAGAAGTTTACTTTCATTAACAATATAATTGGGTTAATCGGACTTTTTTAGTCAGGATTCTTTTGGTTACAGGTGACAGTGACCCACTTCATACTCTTGGTTCACAGAATCAAGGCAAGGATGGGCATCAAAGCCCGGAAGAGGCTGGTCTGGAGAGCTGGGCTTGGCGACCTGAGTGCCTCCAGGCTACGGTTTCTCCTCTGCACGGTGGCTTCACCTTTTCTGCACACCAGCTTTCCCACCAGTCAGAAGCCCAGCTGCAGAATGTGCCCCCAATGGTGCTGGGGTGCCATGGGTGGGCCTGACCTCAGTCTCAGGTCCACAATTCCTGGGGAGGGACTTCCTAGGCTCCCCTAGTAGTCGATCTAGGGCATGTGACAATTTGGGCCGGGTCCCACCCTGTGTGGGAAGATGTGTGAGAGCCGCAGCTGTCCCTCCGCAGCTCTTCTGCTAAAATCACCCTCATCTGTTCACGCTTCATTGTTTTTTGCTGTTTGTTAAGGAGCAGAACCACAGAAATAAGTTCCAACTTCTGTTAGTGGGAAAGGCATGGCTTTTCCAGTGACTTAAGAGCCCCTTGTGCTGATTTGTTGGTGTGACTATTTTGGTTACGTTGGAATCACAGGCTAGAGCTGTGTAAGTCCTGAGGAGACACCTTTTATTGAGGATAGGGAAGGCAGCTCATCAAGGTCTTTTGGCAAGTGGGCGGCAAAGCTCTTGAGTCCAGCCCCTCCTGGGACTGCTGCCAGGGCATGTGCGGGTCACCCCCTGAGAAGGTGGACTGGGCAGGCCTGGCTCCAGGTTTGAATCCTTGCCCTGTGGGCTTTGGTAGGTTGCAGGTGGAGATGGCGCTTGCTTGGTGCATGGTGGCTCCTTGAGGTGGCCCAGCCCGAGACACGCCCTCCTGGGGGCCGGTCCTCATCGGCATTTTGCTGTGAGAGCTCTGCCCTAACAGCGCTGCACCCCTTTCTCCTACAGCTCTTCACCCAGATCTTTGGGGTTGGCGTGAGGACAGCTGACCGGTGGTACCGGGAAGGGCTGCGAACCCTTGATGACCTCCAAGAGCGGCCTCAGAAACTGACCCAACAGCAGAAAGCCGGTGAGCCCTCCAGGACCCTAGGCTTCCCTGGAGTACACTATGAAACTCTCAGCACAGACACAGGATGTGCTGATCTCCTAGAGGGCGGGGAACAGGATGGTGCACAGGGGTCGGGAGCACGCAGTGCAGTCTTGTGTGTTGAGCTCCCTGGGGGCTCCACCCAGTAGAGTCAGGATCTATTGCAGCCGTTTCTCGCTGAATGATGGTCCCGGCAGGTGCCGTGACACTCCAGAGACTGGTGGCATTGCCTCCTGGTTAGACTTTTACCTGGGGCCAGCCTGGGCCTCAGGCACACCCGCCCCGTGTGTGAGGCCTGCAGGGGGAGCTAGCACCCTGTAGTGGAGAAGGCATCAACTTTTGAGTTTGTTAGGCCCGGGTTTGGGTCCTGTCTGCCATTTACCCGGTAGGCGACCATGACTTGAGACTTCACCTCTCTGAGTCTGTTACATTTCTGTGAAATGGGAGAGGAATGACAGCCTGGAATGGGTAAGCTCCCCTGTGAGAGCCAGCCAGTGGCAGGTTCAGCAGGTACTCCATTCTCTTCATGTGGTTGCTCTGGCCGTATGGTCTGTGACCTCCCCCAGGTTGAGGGCTCTGCTGAGGAGCCCCTACAGCCCAGCCGGCATGACCAGCTCACTGCCTGTTCGTACATCTGCCCGGGAGGTGCTGCCTGGTTCGGTTGTTGGGAAGCCAGACCACAGAGCTGGCTCGCCTCTTGGTCACCTCTCCCTGCGCTAAGAGCAGACAGGAATGCCAACAGCATTTACTAAGAGCTCACCCTGTGCCAGGTGCTGCTCTTCCTCACATTGAAACCCCTCCTTCCCTGTGTGTGGAAGATGCAATGATGCCACTTTGACAGGTGAGGGGGCAGGAGGAGGTCAGAGTGAGGTGTTTCTAATGGCAGAGCCATCTTCTTCACATCTTTTTTTTGAGTCATAGTTTCATTCTGTCGCCCAGGCTGGAGGTCAGTCGCATGCTCACGACCACCCCAGCGTCGACCTGCTGGGTGCTGGTGATCCTTCCACCTTAGCCTTCCAATTAGCTGGAACTACAGGTGCATGCCACCACACCCGACTAATTTTTTATTTATTGTAGAGATGAGGGTTCGCCAAGTTTCCTGAGCTGGTCTCGAACCCATGGGCTCCGGCAATTCACTTGCCTTGGCTTCCCAAAGTGCTGGGATTACAGGCTGAGCCACCGAGCCCGGCCCTTCTTCACATCTTTTTACCACCTCTTTTTACCATTTTATAGATGGGAAAACTGAGACATTAAAGGGGATAGTCTACGCAGCAGACTGGGGTAGGAGGGTCACTTGGATCCAGCCTGGGCAATATAGTGAGACCCTGTCTCTAAAAAAGGAGGGGAAAATAGTCTGTGTCATGTCTGTGTTAACATGAGTATCTGAATTTGTTTGTACTATGGTTTTACAAGGTGTTACTTTTGTGGGGAACTGGCTAAAAGGATCTCTCTGTGTTATTTCTTTGAACTGTGTGTGGATCTATAATTATTTCAAAATAAAACTTCAATATTTAAAAGGGGAGAGAGGAAATTGTCATGCTTAGATTGGGGTCTCCTTCTGCTTCCTACCCCAGCCTCACCCTCCTCAGAAGTTTCTCTTCATCCCACAGCCACAGGGCCCCAGGGTGACTGCCTCGTGCTGGCTAGGGATGGGGCTTGGTGTGGTGGGCAAGCTGGGTGAGTCAGGAGAACTGGTACTGCCCACAGGACTCCAGCACCACCAGGACCTAAGCACCCCAGTCCAGCGGGCTGATGTAGAGGCCCTGCAGCAGCTGGTGGAGGCAGCCGTGGGGCAGGCCCTGCCTGGGGCTACGGTCACGCTGACTGGTGGCTTCCGGAGGTAAGAGGCTTGATGTGCCCTTCTGGCATGACTCTAGACTCTCCCCCACACGCCGCCCCGATTAAGGGACCTTAGTTGGGGACACTGAGGCATGCCTTCCCATTCCTTAGAAGGGTTGTAGCCCAAGGCTGGAGTGAGAGGGTTGGTTGGGCTGGGGAGTCAAACTGGCCCCCTCAGGGGGAAGTTGCAGGGCCATGACGTGGACTTCCTCATCACCCATCCCGATGAGGGCCAGGAGGCGGGGCTGCTACCCAGACTGATGAGCTGCCTGCAGGACCAGGTGAGGGCATCCCCACATCCCTCCTGAGAGTGACCGCTGACTGGGCTGCAGCTGCCCCGGCCCCTGCTCTGCCTCACATGGGAGGTCCCGGCACACCTGCCTCTCCCTGCAGGGCCTCATCCTGTACCACCAGCACCACCACAGCCGCTGCGATGCCCCCAGCCCTCCGACTCGGCAGAGCCGTACCATGGACAACTTTGAGAGGAGTTTCTGCATCTTCCGCCTGCCACAACCCTCAGGGGCTGCTGCTGGGGGTGCCCTGAGTCCCTGCCCAGCCTGGAAGGCTGTGAGGGTTGACTTGGTGGTCGCACCCATCAGCCAGTTCCCTTTTGCCCTGCTCGGCTGGACTGGCTCCATGGTAGGGAGTATGCTGCTGGGCTGCCTGGGGCCGGGGCAAGGCCAGCCTGCTGAGTGCAGTCCCTGTTCCCCAGCTTTTCCAGAGGGAGCTTCGCCGCTTCAGCCGGAAGGAGAAGGGGTGGTTGTTGAATAGCCACGGGCTGTTTGACCCAGAGCAGGTATGTTGCTGGGGACTGGGGGCAGGAAACAGCCCCCATAGCCTTTTCCTGGACCCACAACCTGAAACAGCTCCAGACTCCTCCAGCCCGAAACCCATAGGACCCAAATCTAAGGCTCCACACCCACGTCCTAACCCTCAGCATGCACTCCACCTTGGTACCAGACTCTGCCTCCCCTTCCAGCCTCACTACAGGGAAGCAGCCCTGACTGGCGCCCACATGCCTTGACAGTGACCCTAGGCATAGCTCCTAGGCTACTGAAGCCTATGCTCCTATTGCAGAAGGTGTTTTTCCACGTGGCTTCAGAGGAAGACATCTTCAGACACCTGGGCCTCGAGTACCTCCCCCCAGAGCAGAGAAACGCCTGAGCCTGCCTGTGGCCCCTACTTTCACTCTCTGGAAATGAGGGGCTGCCCCACATCTTCACCACTTTCAAGTGAGGAACCCCCACCTCCACTCCAGGGGCCTGTCTCCGCCAGTCCTGCCTGAGTGATCAGCCCCCATCAGCTGAGCCCTCACCAGCATGCTGCAGGGTGTCAGCGAGGTGGGGGCCTTCAGTGCCGGCCTCCTTGTCACGGGACCCTGGGTCAGCTCTTAGCCTACCTGTGGCTCAGGTTTCTGCCCTCAACAGGGGATCTGAGCAGGGCCCGCTTCATGGAGCTGTGGTGGAGCCTGCAGTCATGAATGGCAAGGGCTTTGGCGCAGTGTTTTACCAGTCACATCGCAGTGACTGACTCCTGCAGGGAACCCCCCTCAGAAGTACCTGGAAGAGAGCCACATGTCCCTGCCCTGTGAGTGAGCCATGAGGTGGAGTTGATAGCTCTTGCCTGTGAGGAGTCTACTACAGAGTGCTAAGGGGTGTGCTGCAGGCGTCTAGAGAGGGAGAAGCCCGGTAGGGAGTCCAAGGAAGATAACTTCTGGGACTTCAGTACTACAGCTCCAACTGGGCTTCCTGCTTCTGCCTTTAAGGCCTTCTCAACACAGTCTTTGAAAATAGGTCACAGTTAGCGGGTGTAGTGGCTCACACCTATCATCCCAGCATTTTGAGAAGCAGAGGTGAGAGGATTGCCTGAGCCCAGGGATTCGAGACCAGCCTGGGCAACTTGGCGAGACCTCATCTCTACAATCAAAAAAATTAAAAATTAACCAGACATGGTGGTATGTGCCTGTGGTTCCAGCTCCTTGGAAGGCTGAGGTGGAAGGATCGCCTGACACCAGGAGGTCGAGGCTGTGGTGGCTGTGAGCGCACCACTGCACTCCAGCTGGGTGACAGAGTGAGACTCTGACTCATCCAAAACAATAATAAATAAATAAATGAAAATAGGTCACATTCTCGCTCAGCCCTCCAACTGTTCTCAACCCCAAGTCCTCATGCGATCCCTGGGGCTCTGACATTTCTGCCCACTGCCTGTCAGCCCCTTCTCACCTCCTCCCTCCCTCTAGCCCCACTGGCCTTGAGCTGCCTCCCTCTCACTGCTTTTCACCTTGATGTGCCCCAGACCCCCATGGGCCAATTCCTTACCCTTCTCACTAGGGCAGAAGCACTGAGGTGGGCTGGACACATTGGTCCTGTCCACACTCCCTACAGCACCGGCACACTGGTCTTGGGCATTGCCCTTGCCTGACACTTGGAGTGTGTTCTCCCTCCTCCTTCAGGACTTGACAAGTCACCTTGTCAGGTGAGGATTTCCCAGACCACTCACTACATTAAAATTTAAAAAAATAAAGTAAACATGCAGTAAAATGGACTCTCAATGGGATACCATTGGATGGGTTTTCATCAAATGCGTGTAGACTCATCTGCGTCGCCATCCGTCAGACATACCAGGCCCATCCCTAGAACATTCCCTCATGCTGTCCCATTGTGGTCACATGTTCCCCCACCCCTCACCCACTCATCTTGTTCTTCATCCCTGTAGTTCTGCTTGCTCCAGAATATCACATAAGTGAAACAAAACGAAATGTAACCTTTTGACTGGCCTCTCTCCCTCAGCATAACACTCCTGCATGTTGTTGCATGTGTCTATAGTGTGTTCTTTATTGCTAAGCAGTATTCTATACTGTGGGTGTTCGATTATAGCCATTCAGCTGCTGAATAATGTTTGGGTTGTTTCCAGGGTTTGGTGATTGTGGATGGAGCTGCTATGGATATGCTTGTACAGGTTTTTGTTTCTTGGGTAAATAGCAAGCTATAGGATTATTGGGTCTTATAATAAGTATATGTTGGTTCATAAGAAAGTGCCAGGCATGGTAGCTCACGCCTGTTATCCCAACACTTTGGGAGGCCAAGGTGGGAGGATTGATTGAGACTAGGAGTTCGAGATCAGCCTAGGCAACAGTGAGACTGCTAATCAAAAAAATTAGCCAAGTGTGGTGGCGTATGCTGTAGTACTTTGGGAGGCTGAGAAGGAAGGATCACCTGAACCCAGCACGTGGAGGCTGTGGTGGCTGTGAGTGTGCCATTGCACTCCAGCCTGGCGACAAAGTGAGACTCCGACACCAAAAGAAAAAAAAAGAAAAAGAATTCAACAGTAGGAAAGTCAATAATCCAAAAAAGTTTAAATATAATTTAAAAATAGGTTAGTGCTTGGCACTGTTAGACACTAGGGAAATAAAAATTAAAACCACAGTGAGCTACTGCTACATATCTACTAAAACAGCTAAAATAAACAAATACTGAAAAAATCAAGTACAGCAACGATACAAAGCAATTGGCTACTATGAAATGTAACTTAACTTACATGGGCAGCTCACATTGCAGGTGGACAGCAAAATGACAGTGGGAATCTGGACAACTTGGGAATCTTTTTTTTGAGTCGGAATCTCAATCTGTCACCCAGGTTGGAGTGCAGTGGCACGATAACAGCTCACCACAGCCTCAACCTCCTGAGTTCAAGTGATCCTCCTGCCGTAGTCTTCCAAGTAGCTGGAACTACAAGCACGTGCCACCATGCCCGGCTAATTTTTTGATTTGTTGTAGAGATGAGGTCTTGCCAAGTTGCCCAGGCTGGTCTCAAACCCGTGGGCTCAGGCAATCCTCTCACCTCAGCCTCCCAAAATGCTGGGATTATAGGTGTGAGCCACTGCACCCAGCCTGAATTATTTCTCTTTTTTTCGAGTTGGAACCTCACTTTGTCACCCAGACTGGAGCGCAGTGGCCGCTCCCGGCCACCGCAGCCTCCACCTGCTGGGTTACAGTGATCCTTCCACCTCAACCTTACAAGTAGCTGGAACTACAGGCACGCACTACCATGTCCGGCTAATTTTTTGATTTATTGTAGAGATGAGGGCTCGCCAAGTTGCCCACGTGGGTATCGAACCCACGGGCTCAGGCAATTCACTAACCTCCGCCTTCCAAAGCGTGGGATTACAGGCTGAGCCACCGAGCCTGGCTGAATTATTTCTTAAGAAACAAAGTCTTGCTCTGTCACCCAGGTTGGAGTACAGTGGTGTCATCATAACTCGCTGCAACCTCGAGCTCCTGGGCTCAAGTGATCTCCCACCTCACCCTCCTGAGGAACTGGGACTAAAGGTACACGCCACCACACCTACTGTTTAAATTTTTTGAAGGGACAAGATTTCACTATGTTGCCCAGGCTTGTCTTGAACTCCAGACCTCAAGTGATCCCACTTTGGCCTCCCAAAGTGCCGGGATTACCGACATGAGTCACTGCACCCAGCCTAGCTTGAATTGTAGTGTAATACTTAGTATCAGGTAGAGTAAGTCCTCTAGCTTTGTTCTTTTCAAATTGTTTTGGCTATTTTATTTCCTTTAACTTTCATACAACTTTTGGAATCAACCTGTCTGTATCTGCAAAACAGTCTTTTTGGATTTTGATTGGAATTGCATTTAATCTATAGAAGAGTTTAGGGAAACTAACTTCATAACCATAGTGAATTGTTAATTCATGAGCATAGTATGTCCCTCCATTAATTTTGGTTTTATTTCTTTCACTGGTATTTGGTAGTTTTCCAACATACAGACCCAGCATGTTTTGGTAGATTTATATCTATCTCGTTTTCTTGGAGTTATTATAAACTTTTTAATTTCAATTTATAATTGTTCACTGTTATTTTCATGTGTTAACCTTGTATCCTGAAATCTTGCAACACAACTTCTAGTTTTAAGAGATTTTTGGTGGATTCCATGGGATTGTTTACAAAAAGTTTTATTTCTCCCTTTTTAATTTTGATGCCTTTATTTATTTTCCTTACATTACTGAACTGGCTAGGATTTCCGGTACAAAGTTGCACAGGAGTAGTGAAAGTGGCCATCTTTGCTTTGTTCTGGATCTTAGAAGGAAAGGATTCAGTGTTTCACCATTAAGTATGATGTTAGATGTAGATTCCTTTATCAGATGAAAGAAGTTCCTTTTTATTCCTAGTTTTCTGAAAATTTTTATGACAAATGGGTGTTGAATGTTGTTAAGTACTTTTTCTGCATTACATGGTATGATTGTGTGAATTTTCTTCTTTAGCCTATTCACACTGGTTGATTTTGGAATACTGAGACAGGTTTGAATTCCTGGGATAAATCCCACTCAGTCTCAATGTATTATTTTTTTGTATGTTACTGGGATTGCTGGTATTGTATTGAGGATTTTTGTATCTGTGTTTACGAAGGATATTGCATGTGTATGGTTTTAGTATTAGCTACTGCTTACTTCAAAAATTTTCTTGGGAAGTGTTCCTTCATTCATTTTCTGGAAGAGGTTGTGTAGAATTGTTATTCTCCAAATTTTAGTAGACATCACCAGTGAAATCATCAGGATTTAGAAAGTTCTTTTTTTATTTTATTTTTTTTATTTTTTTAGTTGGAGTCTCACTCTGTCACCCAGACTGGAGTGCAGTGGCCGCTCCCGGCCACCGCAGCCTCAACCTGCTGGGCTCCGGCAATCCTTCCACCTCAGCCTTCCGAGTAGCTGGAACTACAGGCGCACGCTACCACGCCTGTCTAATTTTTTTGATTTATTGTAGAGATGAGGTCTTGCCAAGTTGCCCAGGCGGGTCTTGAACCCGCGGGGTCAGGCAATCCACTCACCTCAGCCTCCCAAAGGCGCGGGATTAGAGGCTGAGCCACCAAGCCGGCTGAAAGTTCTTTTTTAAAAAGACCTTGAACTGTGAATTCAGTTTAGTAGATATAGGATTATTCACTTTATCTGCTTCTCTTGGTAGAGTGTTGGTGGTTTGTAATTTTCAAGAAATGGGGCTATCTTACCTAAATTGGCAAATTTATGTAGAGTTGTTCATAATATTCCCTTAATATCTTTTTAGTATCTGTATTGTCTGAAATTATGTCCCTCCTTTCATTTGTGATATTGGTAAATGACTCTTGTCTTTCTCTAGTCTGATTAGAGGATAAACAATTATTTTGATCTTTTCAAAAAACTATCTTTTTGCTTCATTGATTTTATTTTCCCACTATTGTTAATTTCATTGATTTTCTGCTCTTTATTATTTCCATACTTCTGCTTGCAGTGGAGCTTAGATTATTGATTTAAGACCTAGCCTTTTTTTTTTTTTTTTTAAGTCAGGTTTCTCACTCTGTT